CGAGGGTTCGAACTTACTATCCTCTGCGTCAAGGAACATATTTTTCAATCCAATTGATGTCACTGCTGCATGATACCAGGTTATCCAGAACTCGGGTTCAAATTCACGACACAGTGTGCTTAACCGTTACGCCATGAAACCTTTATTATAGACTCTTATTTGCATAAAAACTGATAATGACAGGGATGCATGTCGAGACGTATCGTAATAGATAATTTTATCTTGGTGCTTTAGATAATTTCATCTTGGTGCTTCAGATAATTTCTAGTAGGAATCAACTGAGATAAATATTAATTTAAATAAAGTAAATTAGTATTTTGTGCAAAAATTCAAAATTAAAAAAAAGAACTCTATTGGTGGACAATCTTTGCAATTAAATTTATTAAATATTTCTTCTACAATTTTTAAAAATATTTTTTTTTAAATATTTTTAACTTCACGAAGAAGAAATTTGTTTTCACCAAAATACCCGATTTGCTAATTTTTTTTTATATTTTCTCGAACTTTCAAGTCATCCTGAATCCCTTGACACCGTGCAATTGTGTTTGGTCAAAATTGAACATTTTTGTCGACGTTTTCTCAAAACCTGCTACACCGATTTTGAAAATTGAAGATCCTTTTGATAAGGTCTCGTGTTGTTTATTTTTGCGCGACGATCGGCTGAGCTGTTTCTTTATAATTAGCAAAAAGTGACGAGCAGATCTTTTTGTCAACAATTTAGCCAAAAATCCTGAACCGATTTCAAAATTCAAAAAATATTCCGTTGGGATTCGAGTTGATTAGTTTTTGGTAAAGATCGGCCGAACCATTTCTTTGTAATTAATTATAGAATTTTTTTTATGATATTGATGCAACTTTGTATAAAGATAGAGTTCATGGTCAAAATGAGCATCTTAAAATATTATAGGCCTACTAAAAAAGGTCTAACTTTGAAAGTGCATTAAAAAATATATTTAGACATAGGGAAACTCTTGCAACATGTCTTAAGGCAAAATGCCACTTACACCTAGCTAGTTGATATTCAAAAATTTTTGAACATACATTTAGACGTATAGGGAAGTTCCTGCAACTTTTTTTTCTTTGTAATTAATTATAGAATTTTTTTTGATGATATTGATGCAACTTTGTATAAAGATAGAGTTCATGGTCAAAATGAGCATCTTAAAATATTATAGGCCTACGAAAACTAGGTCTAACTTTGAAAGTACATTAAAATATTTAGACATATAGGAAAGTTCCTGCAACTTGTCTTATGGCAAAATGCCACTTACACCTAGTTAGTTGATATTCAGAATTATTTGAACATACATTTAGACGTATAGGGAAATTCCTGCAACTTTTCTTTCTTTGTAATTAATTATAGAATTTTTTTTGATAGTATTGATGCAACTTTGTATAAAGATAGAGTTCATGGTCAAAATGAGCATCGTAAAATATTATAGGCCTACGAAAAGTGGTCTAACTTTGAAAGTACATTAAAATATACATTTAGACATAGGGAAGTTCTTGCAACATGTCTTACAGCAAAATGCCACTTACACCTAATTAGTTGATATTCAGAATTTTTTGAACATACATTTAGACGTATAGGGAAGTTCTTGCAATTTGCCTTAAGGCAAAATGCCCCTTACACCTAATTTAGTTAATATTTAGAAGATTTTTTTGTCTGTTCTCCTATATAGGTTGCTCGTCAGTCAATACATTTGATTATTACTTATTGTTAGTAATACTTTTTTTTAATAATTAGTGATGTGTTTACATCGATGACAAGTCGAAATTTCGACGAATTTGAAAGGTTCGAAGACAAAGGATACTTTAGAAAGACAAGGTCGAAAGTTTGGGATCTTATTCGAAAATCTTTGGAAAAGGTAAATGATAGCTTGGGGTCTTTGAGACCCTACTACTTTTTATAACATGCAGCTTATATCATTTATTATATCTCTTGTAACTTTTGAACCATTCGATTGATATGGATAAAGTATGAGAGATATTTGTAGAGAATTGAGTTATCTACATAATGCTCTACAGCAACTCCTTATACTTTAAAATGGCGTTGGCAACTAATAAAATAGTTTTAACGCTTCCAGACTTTGATCGTGACTGCCAACAATCTAATGTATCTGTTGCAGCATTTAAATCATTCGATTGATATTAATGGTGCTTTCTGGAAATTTGTTCAAAATTAAATTATGTATAGGAGTGTCTAATATTATGGCGACCTTAATATTGAATTAGTTGAGAAGGCTAATAGCAATTTTAGTACATTTATTTTGTATATAGCTAATAACTCTTAAACCATTCGATTAATATGAATGATGTTTGAGATTTATTTTTTTGAAAATAATGTGTCTTATAATGTCTCTGATAGTATAAACCTTGGAGCAACTTCTTATACTTTAAAATCGCGTTGGCAACCAATAAAATAGTTGCAACACTGCCAGACTTCAATGGTGACTACCAAGATTGTAATGTATCTGTTGTAGCATTGAAACCATTCGATTAATATTAATGATGCTTTCTAACAATTTGTTCAAAATTAAATTATCTATGAGTATTATGAATATTATGAAGACCTCGAGCAACTCGGTGTACTTTAAAATGCTTATAGAAAAAGTGTTTTGAATTAGTTTAGAAGGCTAATTGCGATTTTAGCACATTTATTTCGTATATTGCTTTGCCTATAAGTCTGAAACCATTCGATTAATATGAATGATGTTTGAGAAAATTTTCTTTAAAATCAAATTATCTATGACTTTTTCTAACAATTTAACGCTCAAGAGCAAATCGGAATACTTTAAAATCGCATTTGAAAACAGGGTATAAATTGAATTGAGAAGGCTAATTGATTTGAGTATATTCATTTGGTATATTGCCAATAACTCCTGAACCATTCGATTAATATGAATGCTGTATATGGTAAATTTTTACAAAATTAAATATTGTACAACATTGTCTAACACTATAAAGCTCTACAGCAACTCGGTATACTCATTACTGGACCTAAAAGTTCAAGAATAATCTCAACATGTTAAGGATCCATTGCATCGTTGTTTTTTATGGCTTGCTTTAGGAAATTTCGTATAACTTTTAAATCATTAGATTAATATAAATAATATATTTGGCCAATGTGTACTGATTCAACTAATTCACAATATTGTCTAACATTATAAGACCCTAGAGCAACTCTGTATACTTCAAAATTGCATTTGAAAGTACACTATCATTGCTCAAACGTGGTTTGAGTACTTATTTACTCCAACTCTTGTAACTTTCAAACCATTCGATTAATATGAATGATGTATTTGGCAAATTTGTGCAAAATTAAACAATCTACAACATTGTCTAACTTTATAAGACCCTACAGCAACTCGATGTACTCTAAAAACTAATTTGAAATTAGAAAAGTAATCTTAACGTATATATTTTCAGTATGTAGTTTACAAGTCTCAAACCATTCGATTAATATGAATGGTGTATTTGGCAAATTTGTACAAAAATCAATATTTATTTATTCTTAAAATATAATTAATTCTCTAAACCCTTTTTTGTTGAAAGTATTTGATTTGAAAAACTGTATTGAAAATTTCATATCCGAATTTTGTATTGGTGCCCCCTAAGGGCGTGCGCAAATAATCTACAACCTTGTCTAACATTATGAACCCCTACAACAACTCGGTATACTTAAATATTTGCTACAAGAATAAACCTAATGATTCAATAAAGTCTCTTATAAATACTTAATGGCAAAAACTGTTTGTGGGTGAACTTTTCAATAATTCAACCCCTGAAATTGCATTTCAAGGGCGGATTATACAATAAATGCCGATGATATAGCATTTAGATGTGTATATATATATATATATATATATATATATATATATATATATAAATAGTCACATAAAAGTTTTGCGACATTCGCAATAAAATCGATTGACAGCACTATGCAAATTGTATAAATTTAGAATCGTCTCGAATCTATATTTATGTATATACATGTATATATATACATGCATATATATATATATATATATATATATATATATATATTTAGTTTGGAGTTTCCTTTTCTACTACTGATGATGATATAAGTTTATATGCCGAAACGTTTGAGCAAATTAAAATTGCCTACGATTCGAATCCAAAATTACAATTTTTATGATAATACCATTTTAAAAGTTATTCTTAAAATATAATATATTCCCTAAACCCTTTTTTGATGAAAGTATTCGATTTGAAAAACTATATTGAAATTTTCATATCCGAATCTTGTACCGGCGCCCCCTAAAACGTGCGCTCGTATTTTTCGCATGCCTCGCATTCAAGGCAGGACCGATCCTGATTATTACTTAATTTCATATTTTAAGTGAATTAATTTATCAAATCCTGTTCATATGTGTATCATTCAATCTGCCACACATATACTATATCTTATATAATTTTAATTTCTGGCACATCTCAGCTGCTTTTGGCAATAATAATGTAGACATTTTATTTTTCATATATATTCTAATATTGTCTAGGCTCATAAGTAAAATTTGAATTTTTGGCAGATGACAATTTTCATTTGTTTTCAATGCTAAACAATGTCTGAAATATTTTCAATGCCAAACAATGACATGTCGTTTTTTGCTATTTTTTCTATTTGTTTCTACAATATTACTATATTTTTATGATCACATGCATCCTAAAAAATTCCCTTAACAAACTTCAGAAAGATTTATCAAAATCCGAATAATCGTTTAGGAGAAGTATATTTACATATATTATTACAGAAGAATTTTATATATTAAAATATCTTCTTCCAGAGTGACGGCAACTATGGAAGTTCTTCAACCGGTCTGGACGCTTCCGGAGGCGCTGTGCCCTCTCAAGGGGGCACCGGCGAAGAGGTCCGACTGGACGATGAAATGGATAAGGTTTTCGCCTCGATGACGTCACCTGGTGGTGTCACTACTTCCGGGGACAAGGACAAGGAAAAATTCGACGTGGCCAGCCTCTCTGCACCGCCACCTGTCGTCGAACATTTTCACGATGATATGGAGTACAGCCGTAAGTTGAGAGAATAAATGACTCATATATACATATAATAACAATAATAATAATATTAAATGGTAGTCTGTCCGAAGGGAGGTCCATGGTGTGAGAGCCACCACAAATAAATGATTCCCTTACCCTTCATCCCATTACCACCATTTCCTCTTCCAATTTTTTTTATTTCATGTTTTTTCCTTTCCGAACTTCTGCTTCCATGCTTCTTGATCCTGTGCTTTGGCTTTCAATTCCCTGTATATATAATAATAAGCTTTAAATTTTTTTTGTTCGACGTTGAGAAATATTCTCTAAATGCTAATTCTATGGTATGTGTGCCATCATTCAGCATATTTTTACAATATCTAAAAGAGTAATTCACAAAGTTTCAAATAATTCTTTTTAAAAATATAAGAACTAAAAAGAAATTATACAATTATACAAGACTTCTAATGAACGTGTTACTGATGTTGTTTACAAAGTAAATTGTAAAGATTGTAATTATTGTTACATTGGAGTAAGTTCACAATATATTTACAAAAGAATAAACCAACATATCTGTCATTTAAAAAAATCCTAATAAATATAAAAACCATGTTTTCGGAACATATTATTAGTTTAATCGGTACTTTTAATACCAAGAATCTTTTTATTTCACATAAATAAACTTTAAAAAGTTTGCTGAATGTATTTATCTTTTTAAAGCCTCATTGTGTTAGTTAATTGTATTAGTAAACATAATTCTGCCATTTTAGTACTTGATACTTATCATAACATTATCCATGTTTTTAATACGAATGTAATTATTGTTACATTGGAAAAAGTTCACAATATATCAATATATCTGCAATTAAAAAAGTCCTAATCAATATAAGACCATGTTTTCGGAACATATTATTAGTTTAAACCATACTTTTAATACCATGAATCCTATTACTTCACATAAATAAATTTAGGAAGTTTACTGAATCTGTATTTATCTTTTTAAAGCCTCATTGTGTTAGTTAACTATATTAATATACAAAATTCTGCCATTTTAGTACTTCTCATAACATTATCCATTTTTTAAATACTAGTATATTGTAACGATTGTAATTATTGTTACGTTGGAGAAAGTTCACAATATATGAATCAACATATCTGTAATTTAAAATGGTCTCAATCAATATAAGACCATGTTTTCAGAACATATTATTAGTTTAAACCATACTTTTAATACCAAGAATCCTATTATTTTACATAAATAAATTTAGAAAGTTTACTGAATCTGTATTTATCTTTTTAAAGCCTCATTGTGTTAATTAATTGTAATAATAAACAAAAGTCTGCCATTTTAGTACATGATACTTATCATAACATTATCTATTTTTTTTAAATAATAGTATATTGTAACGATTGTAATTATTGTTACATTGGAGAAAGTTCACAATGTCAACATATCTGTAATTTAAAAAAGTCCTAATCATAGTAAGACTATGCTTTTGGAACATATTATTAATTAAAACCATACTTTTAATACCAAGAATCCTATTATTTCACATAAATAACGAAAGAGCGTGTTACTAATGTTATTTTCAAAATAAATTTTAACGATTGTAATTATTGTTACATTGTAGAAAGTTTACAATAATTAAATCGACATATCTGCGATTTAAAATAGTCCTAATCGATATAAGACTATGTTTTCGGAACATATTATTAATTTAAACCATACTTTTAATACCACGAATCCTGTTATTTCACATAAAGAAATTTTAGAAAGTTTGCTGAATCTGTATTTATCTTTTTAAACCCCCATTGTTAATAAACAAAATTGTGCCATTTTCGTACATAATACTTACCATAACATTATCAGTATTTTTTAAATAATTCTTCAAAATTTTCAGACACAAAACCTACTTTTGTTTTTTCTCACCGACAATTTTACTCAGATAATAACTGGACAGTAGAGATCCTTTTTCTCGCTTCGCTTTATTTTATCGTTCTCAATAGCACTTTTAGAAACTTTATGTATATATATATATATATATATATATATATATATATATGTATATATGTATATATACATTTGTATGTATAAATGGCTTTCTATCTCTAGAAAGGTAGAAAGCAAATAACGCCTGACGTGTCGCAAACAATCTTACTGCTCCGTCGATGTATCTCAATTTAGGCGTCATATGTATTTATATACAACTATATATATATATATATATATATATATATATATATCTGTGTGTGTGTGTTTACATATATATATAATGAAATCCGACATGAATATGAAAATTAATGATTAAGAAATTTCATCCACCTAATTAGATTTTGCACAGTCCAATAATCATGGAATCCTTGTCTGACCTTTATGTATATGCATGTATGTATATATATATATGAGGATATATATATATATATATATATATATATCCTCATACTTTATATTAAATGTTTTGAAGATATAGGATGTTCATTTTTCCAGAAATCGTTTTGAAACAACAAAAAGAAACATTTTGAAATATTTAAAATTATAAAATACCAGACAATTTAAAATTATATATATAGTTATATAAATATATATGTATATATATATATATATATATATATATATATGCATTGTAGTGTGTTCGTTGAAATTGCCCCTGATGTACCGTCAAACATCATTGCTTCTTCTTTGAAAGCTTCTTCAAAGCTATCCGAGTATATAAGAAGCTTTTCAATGCCCACGAATATACATTAGTGTTTATATATACATTTATATACATACATATACATATATATATATATATATATATATATATATACAAGCGCAGGTTCTATAAATATAGATTTATCGAATTTTTATGAGATTTTAAGTGCCCATCTTTGAGGTATTAGGGGATGTAAGACAACATTTTTCTATGCTCGATCAAATATTTTTATTACCATTTCGTTTTTCAAGGTTATAGCATTTTGTGTGCAAAATGTACTCTTACAGAGGATATATATATTTTTTTTGGTATGCACATTTTTATTGTCAAGAAAGGGTGAGGTTTGAGCAATGTAATTTAGCAAATTTTGCTAAATGGAATTAATCAAATTTAGAAAAATATATTTTTAAATTATGCCGAAAGAACAAAGAACATTTTAGGGTTAAAATTATTTCTAAAGCTTCAAAAATTGATGTTGATAATGAAAAATGATCAAAAATGTCTGTTTGGAAATTTTCCTAAAGACTTTATTTGTTTTAAAAAGTACTTTCTATTTATAAATTTATTTTTTTTAAAAAAATCTATTGGATTGATTTCTGTACATAAACATTTAAAAAAATATTTTTAAAATTTGATATAAATTTAGTTCAAAATTTGAAATATTTTTATTAAAATGCTTATTATATATATTTGATCGAAAAAGGCATTATGTTACAAATTTGCAAGTTTTGAAAAAAATAATGCATATATTTTTGCAAACCAAATTCTAAAATACTTCTAAAACTTCAAAGAACATTCTTCATATAAATTTAGTTCTAATATTACAATTTTTTTTAATAAAATTTATTTTTTTCAGTTCATCGCAAGAAATCGTATCCACACATGCATGCGCCATTAAAAGCAACTCACGGACGAGGTAAATAATTACTAATTATTCTTAATTATTAATTATTATCAAATATTAATTATCGGTAATATTAATTGCAATTTTTAGGTAAAAGGGAAAGGGCAGTTTCTGTTGGTACAGGACCCAATGTTAGTACTACAGTTTCTCCAAGACATTCGGAATCTGAGGCTTCTGAAAGTGTTGAACCGCAGGTAGGTACATTTTATTATTAATTTATAATTATAAAAAATTTCGTGTAAAAAATTATTATATTTGTATTTTTTTGATAAGATTAATAGTTCACCTAGGGTCCTAGGACTTTATCTAATACAAAAACTATCTATGTATGTCTGAAATATTTTAAAAAATATTGAAAATTTAGTTAAAGCAAACATTTTTTTTTATATTTGTTGCAATAGCTTTTGAACTATATAATTAAATATAATTAAAACCTAGTCTATTTCTGACAGAGTTTTAAATTATCTAAATCTAAAATTTTACCTAACACTAAAATTATCTAAAACCATTGCAAACATTTAAAAAATACCTAATAACATTTAAAAAATAGTAAATTGACAAATAGTCTTATGTTACCAGTAGCCAATGGGACATTTTTTATATTTGTTTCAATAACTCATGAACTAATAACTGAAACTAAATATGATCTTTGACAAAATTTTAGTTTACTAAATTATCCAAACTAACTAAAGTTGATCTAACATCAATTTTTTATGACCTCCATAAACATCTCTAAAAGACCTTCAAACATAAACCACTTCCAAACACTTTCTTTCCCCAGCCTGCATTTCAACATGCAACTTGCCAATAGAAAAATTATCTAATCATCTTTTATCTTTTAGTCCACAAAGTCTCAACAAGATCGCGCCACTTCCTTAGACCAAGACGACACCAGTCTCGCATACGAGAGCGTCCTGCTGAGCTCGGAATCTGAACCACAGGTAAAAATTATTGATTATACGTTTCGACTATGCATTCTGGTCACCATCAAAAAATAATAAACATATTAGATTTGATGTCAATTTGAAGTTTTTATGTTTAGATGAGTCATTTTTGCCATCACCAGTCAAATTAATAAATTTGAACGTTACCACTGCGTACTCTGGTCATCATCAGCAAAGTTAATTTTGTAAATTGTAATGATTTTCATATTGTTGTCATCACCAGTGCACTCTTGTCATCATCAATGTAATCAATATTATGAAAAAAATATTATCCGCACACACATACACACACGCACACACACACATCCATTTTTTCTAAGGTATGCCAAAATATTCAGAAACCTCTGAAACGTAAAGATTTTTTTGCGATTACTATAACTTATCCTAAGGGAAATTAATAAAAATGATTTTTATGTTGTCTGCACGTTTCGAAGGGCATTGTTGCCATCACTGGTGAAACAAATTCTATACAAATTTGTGGTTTATCATATTTTTTTCTTTTAGATTTCGGAAAGAGCTGCTACCCATACTGCCCCTGATGGGTCTCCTATTCTGGGACCCTCAAGGGTCCAATTTTCGCCAAGACGTGGAGATGGTAGCAGCGATTATCACAGAGATGGCGATACTGAGGATGACAGGGATGGGCCTGATAAGAGTAAACGAAAATCGTAAGTGGAAAAGTTAAATTCATATATTTATAAACATAAATCAAACGTTTTTGAGACCATAATTGTATTGTAAGGTTTTTTTAATGGACGCAAATTACACTCTTGTTTCCTTGCCGATAATTTTGGAAACAGAATTTGAGAATCAATTTTCATAAAAACGATTAGCAAAAAACTGAATAAGGGACATTTTGACACCAAATTCAAAGAGTTCTGGTGTGAGATTAGGGCTCTAGAGGATTTGGCAAAACATATCAACCAAGCTCCTGTAATTCTTGCCAAGTGGCCAAAGATATTTGATGTCAATAATGGAATTTCTAATGCTAATCCATGCTTTGTCCCAATTTCATTGCTTAATTTCGTTAGTTGTTTGATGTAGACATCAGAATTGATTATTCGCTTGTGGTGATATCGGTTCAAAGTAGACAATACTCCTTAATCATCTTCAGCTGGACAACTTGAGCGTTTTTCATCTTTGAGTGATGAGCGTTTTTCATCTTTGACCAAAAAAAAAAATATTTAAATAATATTTATCCATGCAAAATGGCCGACCGGTCAGTGATGAAACAAAATGGCGGACCGGTCTTATTATTTAATTTAGTGAATACATTACAAACTTGTGGACCTAAAAATATTTTAATTATTTATTATTGTTAGTAACAAAATTAGTTTCAAGCAACTATTTTCCGATACGTGTAAATAATACAATAACATTTGACATAGGAGAAATGGCAAATCAATTCTGACACTGCCTTTTTTTAAGGCTTTATCACCATAAATCGCGTCTAACTTTTTGTGAGCTTACGATGCTTTTTTACCTCTGCAAAATAAGAAAGCAAAGTAGGACAAATATTTTGATTTTTATTTTTCATCCTTCAACGTACGCCAAACAAAAATTACACAATTGATAAAAAAACTCTTTTTGACAGATTGAAATTTGATTTGTCTACTATCCAATAACAAAAAATATAGATTTGGACTACGTTGGTAAACAGTGGTATAATGAAAAAATGCTTTCTTTAAAATTACTCAGTTTATTTTAAATGTTACTTGTTCCACGGTTCAGCAAGAAGAGAGTTGTTTTACATAGTTTTAACATAAACATAAATATAAGATGGCGGATACATAGAGTAGGGGAACAGTATCGCCAACGTCACTAGTAGTAATGGCGGGACATTTGAATTACAAATAAATATAACATTACATTTGACATTACATAAGAGAAATGTGACAAACAATTTTGTCCAAACAGTAAACCTAAAAATTCAATTTAAACCATCTAAGAGTGAAAGCCGAACTTACTTAGTTGCCTGCGTAATATATATATTTGAAAAGATGCCAAAGACAAACGTGCAGGGTCAAGGTTAATGTATTTGGCAGAAAATTTATATATACATTAATGTGACAACTTGCCAAAAGTAAATTACATAACTTATTATTTCAATATTGAAAGATAGACGCCACAAATCTCGTTCATAAATTTTATAACTTTGAACCGATGCCATGACAACTTAGTTAGTGTTGTTGCAAACAACCAATCAGCAATCAGCGACAGATACTAAGTGTTAACAAAAATTGTACAATTATTTTGTTATCTCCGGAATTAATTAATTTCACGAATCAGATGCGGCTTGCTCAATTTGAACGATGGTATTTTTGAAAAAAATAATACATTTGCTTCAATTTATACAACTAATATAAAGGTCTTCCTTTATAACTTTATAACGGTTAAGCACGCTGCCTTGTATGGACAGGGTTGTGGGTTCGAACCCCGCTTTGGATAACCTGGCATCATGCAGCAGTGATATCAATTTTTACAGATTAAAAATATTTTTCCAAGACAGTTCAGTCCATGATACATCCAATTAGCTATCGGCGACCGACTCGATTGCAACAGTGTTATTTTTAAATAATTCTATAATTAATTTGCAATCTCTGTCCAAAATGTCATCCTTATCACTCTTTATCACTCCGACAAACATTTTTATTTCAATCGATCAATCGGCATCGATTATTTTTATCGATAATGATTTTTTAGTTAATTTAATTATCGGTATTATTCTTTTTACAATCAGTATTTAATTTAATTAGCAACAGTGATTATGTAGAAAAATTATTCATCGTTAAGTTGTAATTAATTAGTGACAGTTAATTAAAATTAAATTAGTAATAATTTTAACATTAATTTAATTAGTTGAATTATTAAATTAGTTGTTTTGCTGTGTTTTTAATTAAATACAATTAGTTCGTGCTTAGTTAAATAAAAAATACAAATATTAATTAAATTAAACGTTGTTAATAGTTAATTAATTAGTTATAGTTAATTAATTTGATATTCACACTATATTATTAATAATTAAACTTGTTAAATTATCAATTATAATATTAATTTAATTAATTGATTTTAATACACATTTTATACTTGATATTCGATAATTAATTAATGTAATTTATATTAATTAAAAAATTAATTTAATTCATTGTTTTCATAATTTATTGACATTAAAATTAATTACAAATAATTTTGTAAATTAATTGATACAATTCATTAATATTTTTGATTTTGATTTTTAAATAAATAATAATTAATTTTAAATTATAAAAATATATAAAAAAAATCTTATTAAATTTTTTTGTTAAATTAGGTTTTTAATGTTTTATTATTAGTTTCTTTCAATTACTGTTTAATTACGATTAATTAAAAATGGATAATTATGAAAAAATACGTGAAAATGATGACAAAGTGGATTACTTTGAAAAATTTGCAAAAGTGTATAGAAATCCGAAATATAATTTTCATTCTATGGATTTGGAGTCGATCATGGCGAGGAGGTAATTATGTTTTAACTTTGTAATACATACAGCACGTGCTGAAGAGCTCATCAAAAGTTCATTACATCATTTAAAACTACAGTTGTCTAGCAATGCTACTTATATATTTTCTACGCCGGAAATAAAAGATAAAAATGCACAAAGTGCCAAATTTTTTTAGACAATTGTCTCTGTAATGGGTGCCAAAAACTAAAAGTATTTTTGAATGACAAAAATCTATTTGTAGCCTTTTGACAACTACAGCTTTATTGTAGCTACAAATTTTTCAGTCTGTGACATTTGCCGGTATTGTTACCATGCGAAAGAAAATTTTAGAAATGCTGATTTTGTGGAAAAAACAAGTGAAAATGTTTTTTTGTAATAAAATCAGTTCGAAATTGATTTATAAAGATTGATAATTCATAGTTGTTTAAATAGTTTAAGTTTTGATTTATATACAAAAATCTTGTGTGGCTTATAAACTAAGAAGTGCGTTGTTGAAGTGTACAGTTTTATTAATTTTTATTTAATTTTTAATAAATATAACTATTAGTAGTTCTAGTTATAAATAATTCAAGCAAGCTAATATAAAACTAAAGTTTTGTTTTATATCACAAGTTTCAATATAATTGTTGCAACAATTTGCAAAACCATTTATACACTTTTATAAATATATTAACCGACAGACAGACAAAGTTGCTACAGCTGTAAAAGTTAATATTTAAATAAATACGTCTTCAAATAAGATATAAAAATTATTCACACAATTATAAGAATAGAAAAAAAGTGAAATGAATTAATATAGGAAAACTAGCAAACCGGGCGAACTCCGTTTCACCACCAGATGGTTTCACTTTATCTAACATTTCGTTTGGTGATTAAAAGATGAAGGAAATAATTGCCTGCCGTTGAAATTGAATAAAAATTTGCACATTACACGTGATTTATTTGATGGTTTCCAATTGAAATGTTAGGAAACGAATAACTTATTTTTTTACATTTTTTGCACAATTTCACAGTGAGCACAATGCCGGTTTGTCACATGAAATTAACTGAGTAGACAATCAAACAAAATATATTAGTTTGTAGTACATGCTAAGTATCAGAGATGACTCTGTATGCGAAAAAAGAAAGAGTGTTTTCTGCTTTTCTGTTGAAATTTTTCTTCAATTTTCTTTGCTATAAACCTCACGGAGTCCGAGACCTTTCCAACGAATGCAAAATCGTCGAAATCGGTTCGTGCGTTCTGGAGTTATATCGTCAGGAAGGAAAACCCAACTTATTTTTTTATAATAGATAAACATATAATTTTCATACGAGTTTGCATCGAAAGACTTTTGTAAAAACCACTGATTTAGAAATAAAAATTTTGTGATTTTTTAATGTATATTTCAGATTTATATACTTACTAATTAGAAACGCTAAAATTTATCTAATTACAAATGCAGATTTCATTTTTACAAGAGTTTATATTTTTATTGTCCAATATCAATAGTTTGCCATTAAATTAATATAAATATTTATAACTGTTTAACAATATAATATTTATAAAAAAAATGAAGTAGCATAATTTTTTTTGAAAAAACTACATATACAAAAGACTATATAAACGATCATGAGGTGTGAAATCCAAATAAAAGAGTTAGAAATTTGTGCATAAATATATTATTTTATTTTGCAAAAAATTATACTGAACTATTAGTTAATGTAATAATATATAAGAAAAGAAAATATAAATTTTAATTCCAGAAACAAACTCGAAACGAACAAAAGATATAAAACTTCGAAAGAAAATATTTGTTTGTATATATTTATAAATGTCTTAATTACAATACTATATATTAAAATATGTAAAAGATTGCATAAACGAACAATACAAATTTTAATTACACAAAGAAATAGTAAGGGCTAAAAAATTAGAAAATTAAAAATATTTTTTTTAAATACAACGTTTATATTTTACTTCGTCTGTCACAATAACAGTATATTGTTTTTCAGTTTCCAGTTAACTATTTAAATTAACAATGGCGCTAAAATAACTAATTAACCTAATATTAATAATTTAACAAACAGTTCACTGAGTGTGAAAAGTAAAAATAGTAATAGGCAATTTATTTATTGACTTTGCAAATCAGTTCGGATACAGAACGTGGCGGACGAGTCAGGAACATTCCGTTAGTGGATGTCCGAAGTGTAAAGTTTATTTATTTTTAAATAAAAACATTTATGATTGTTTATCGTTTTTTAAATAAATAAAGAAAGAAAAATAAATATAGAAATTTGCGATGTCTTTGGACTTTAGTGATTTGTGGGATGACTTTAAAAGGTGAGACGATTTAGTTGAAGATAGAAGAATTTATAAGTTGTAACATATTCTTCAATAACAATAACATTACACGATGGTAAAAACAAGAAGTCGAAAAGTACTCTTTTGCAACAATATATTTGTTTATACTATCTTGTTTTATTTTTCTAAAATTTGTGAAAATAATAAGTCGAAACGTATGATTCATATTAATTTGTAGTACTGTATTGCAGACTGTACTTTTGTTACGTAGTTATAAAATTTATTAAAACTCTCCTTCGATAATTCAGGTTGTTGGGTTATAATTTAACCCTTATAGCTGTGGACTGTATTAAACACTGATTTGTTTGTATATTATGTATTTGTTGCAGTTCTAACTACAATCACTGATTTGTTACTAAGTTATAATGAAAGAAGATATATTTATTTTTATTGGTTATTTACATGTTGTTAAGCGGATTTTACTTTTAGAAGTGAACAATTAGTTCAATTAAAACACTCCGCTACCTCCTCTACCAAGGGTAGCAACTATACCGTGTAAATCTTAATGCCTTGAGGTTTGTCACCTTCATGGCCAATATTATAAAACGAAAAGACGTCCGAACACAGAAGTTTCCAATCATCTTAAGTGAAATAATTGAGAAAATCATTTTATAATTTTTTTCCTTTTCCCAGGAGACATCACCACCACCATCATCACAAAAGTAGAAAGTATTCCCTCCAGGAGGATCCGGAGGCGAGAAAGCAGTCCGGAGCGGAGAGATTCGGCACAGTCGTTCTGTCCGGAGCTGGATCAGGAACTGGATCCGCTTCTGGATCGGTTTCCGGGTCGGCAGGAGCCCCGAGAAGGATATCTATGCAGCCTGAGGATAGACAGCTGGAAGAACACGACCAGGATGATTTAGTTTCACATAGGTAAGGAAATAAATGGACTTAGAAAAGCAACCAGGTAGTTACTACTATCGGTTTCATCTTAGTCATCAACAAACATTGCAAGATGTTATGTTTTATCTAAAAATTTTTGCCGGTGACAAATGAAAATCCAGGAGATCGAGGATCAACTTAAATTCTTTTAGCAATTGGGTTCAAGCCTCATCATACAGTTACCCACATAATTCTACTTTTTTTTTTTTATCATCACAGGTCAGATGATCCCAGAGGGCTCCGCCGACATAAAATTCAACCAACCAGATCATCCAGCAACTCTTTTGTCCACATCGCACGCAAAGAAGAAGGTCACAAGTTGTCTAATCTGTTGACGCAGTCAACTCTGAAGAAACTTTATGACCACAGTCCACACGAGGTAAAAATTCTAACGATCTTCATACCATTCATATACACCAGCTCCAAGTAAATCTTTTTCCAACCTATAATTTATTGAATCAATTTCTAGGTTTTTGTGCAATTGGATGAACTAGTCGGTACAGGAGATGATCGAGAATGGAAAGAAACTGCTCGTTGGATCAAATACGAGGAAAACGTTGAAGAGGGTTCCGACAGATGGGGTCGTCCACACGTCGCCTCTTTGAGTTTCCACTCACTTCTCAATTTGAGAAGATGCTTGGAAACTGGTGCAGTTTTGTTGGATTTGGACGAGAAGGATCTACCAGGAGTTGCCTACAGGATCGTAGAACAGATGGTGAGATAAAAAATAATTTTCTGGTTACTAATAAAAATGGTGCTGTTATACAAACGTAGATTTAGAAAGTGGATTTTTATTTAAATCGTAGATGCAGGAAGTAGATGTTTATTTACACATTCTAATTGGTTTGAATATCCAGAATTTTTCTTCTAAACTAACAAAACTAAAGTACTTACATCTTTGACATCTATTTTAACTTCTTTTCTTTTCGTAAAATAATATGCGTTACGCATTACTGCACCAGTTTTTCTGATAAACTAATAAAAACAAGGTTCTGTTAATATTTTTGACGATTCTATTGTGAGTTTTCTTTTATTTTCTAGTTAGTGGACGAACTGATTCTGGAAGACGACAAGCCCATCATCATGCGTGCTCTTCTGTTACGTCACAGGCACGTTAACGAGAACGACCGAGGGTTTATGTTTGGAAGTCGTCGGAAATTCTCGAGTTATACAAGTTTACAGGTAAAATATTTTGCTTTTGATTTGTTTTTTTTTTCTGACATTTTTTTGAGTTTTGTGCAAAAGTGGATAAAATAACAGAACCAGTTTCTATTGTCTGTAACGAGTTGGTATAGGGCGTAGGGTCTTTGTGGTTAAACAATGTATAGACTCTTTAATTTAGAATAAATTTGCCGAGTACATTTTTCAAATTAATCGAACCGTTCAAAAGATTCAAGAATTTTGATAAGCAAATGCTCTCACACTTATTTCTATAAACGGGTTAGCGGGCTAATGCATGTCAAATCGCCCCAAAACCTCAAAGTGACAAAAATCGATTCATAACCTCTAAAATGTCTAATGTACAACTTCAACTATATATTTAAAAAACTTTCCTCGATCCCAAAGTCTTCCATCTGGAATCTTCCACTCGAGGAATTATCCCCTGAACATGTCGCTCGTCTGCAATCGGAACGTCTGCAGAGTCGATTGAAGCAGCCGAGGAGCAGTGTGGCAGTTTCTGATCATCGCCGATTGTTATTTTCCAACCAGAATAACAACCATCAGTTAGAACCGACCATTTCGGTTATAGATGAGAAGTTTGGCAGTTACCTGAAACCTCCGATGCCACCATCTCTTGCCATCTGCAGGAGACATTCGGCTCATGTTATAGTAAAAAGGAGTTTTTAGATTTTTTGGATTGTTGGCATGATATTTTTTGGATTTTTGTTCTAGAAAGTTCTTAGATTGCTGAAATGCAGTTGACTTGGAATGTTTGGATTCATTTTTTGGCTTATTCCGTTAGTTGGAATGTTTATTTTTGTTTTTATTATTTAATCTGAATTGCTGGAATGCTTTTTTGATCTTTGAAATATTAGTTGGATTGTTGATTTTGGATTTTTTCATTTTACTTATATTATTCTGAAATGTTTTCTGAACTTTAGTTTGTTGGCATATTTTTTTTGTACCTGTTTTTGTTTGTTTTGTTGAAATCCATTTGCTTATGATTACAACCTTACCTAGGTTTTTGGAATGCAGTTTTTTTTCTGGATGCAGTTTACAATATGAATTGTAAATCAATTCATGGATTTTCAAAATTCCACTTGACACCTTGGAATGTTTTTTTTATTATTGGAATGCAATTTTTTTGGTTTTGACATTGTTGGAACGCTGGAATGCTGTATAGTTGGAATACATTTTTAAATTTTCAATTACTTTGCACGAGTTGAAAAGCAAATACTCAAACCAAAATTTACAATTGTTTTCCAATTTTTTTAGAACTTATCCGACGACAAAGGCAAAAAACGAGACCTTCCTTCTTCAACTTTGCACATCGACCTCTTGACAAGGAATGCTTTGGGGTCCAATCGTCGTCTTGGGGCTTCGGAGACCCGTGTGGATATGAAAGAAGAAAATACTTATTCTGCATCACAAGAGGACCTTTATAAAAAGACTCATAACGAAGCTATCTTGAAGAGGATACCAACCGGTATGAGAAAGATGTTTCTTTAATTATTTTGCATTATTTAACCACAGACTGTAGATTTTTCTGCGCCAAAAACCACCATCAATCACACTCTTTTCCTTCTCCAGGTGCTGAAGCAACAACAGTCCTGGTCGGTTCCGTAGACTTTCTGGACCATCCGACCATTGCCTTCGTGCGTCTCGCCTCCGGGGTACAAATGCCGACTTTGACCGAAGTTCCAATACCCGTCCGATTCATGTTTGTCTTGCTAGGACCCGACGATTCTGACCTGGACTATCACGAAGTTGGCAGATCTATAGCTACCTTGATGGCAAACCGACCATTCCATCAAGTAAGAAGAAAATGTCTTAATCGAAAATTAACTTTAGGTACTAAAGAAATCTATTGTTTTTTTTACTAGGTGGCTTACAAAGCGGAAGACAGAAGAGAACTACTGTCTGCCATCAACGAGTTCCTGGACGACTCCATAGTGCTTCCACCAGGCGACTGGGAGCGCCAGGCCTTGTTGCCATTTGACGAAATCAAAGCCAAGAGCGAGAAGATTAGGCAGAGGCGTGCCAAAGAGGCCAAGGAGGCTGCACTGGGCGGTGATAAAGGAGGTCCTGGTGGCGGCGGTGATGATGGCGGGGACGGGAAGAAAGGAGGAGACGAGAAGAAGACTGGAGGAAGTGGAGGTGAGATGATTTTAATTGATATATACTAATGCTATCTACTCTCCGAGCACTTTTAAATGATAAGTCACATGCGAAATAGTGTTCAGTATTTGCCTATTGACAAGTTGCATATTTAAAACAAATGTTTTTATCATAGAAAAGGGATTTTATATAGTTTTTTTTGCATAACTAGTGAATTATTGGTGATAACTTAATAACTTGATTGTGCCTTCAGCAAAATTTTGGTAAATTAAACTATCTACACGATTTGTTTTGTTTTATAAAGTGTTGTACGCCACAAAACCGTCTAGTGTGTCAAAACAACATTTAATCATGTCTTCCGTAATCAATAGTTCTCTGTTCCCTGGAAACTAATTCTAACAAATTTTTTAGTCTCTGCCAGGCGCAAAGTTCGCTTTTCGTCCAAAATCTGGACCAGGGACAACGACAACCATAATGCCACAAACGATAAAAGAAGAAAACCTAATTTAGCCTTTAAACTAACCATGAAACTATTAGAAATATTTAAAAAATAATATGCATGCGTGTATTTTTGTTGTTTTGAATACATTTTTTATGCAACTTAGACGTTGTTTTTGTTACCTCTACGATTCCTCATGATTTTTGATTAAAATTGTCGTATATTTTGGATATTTTAGGAGAACGTCTGAACTGGTTTTATAAATTTCGAATATTTACGCATATCGAGAAGTTTATCCAATAAATGAAGTTTATGCAATTTGTCTTCAACAAAATTTTCTTTGCACTTGAAATTTTGAAAATCTAATGATGTTTTACTTCAAAAAAAGTTTGTTTATTTTCTTATGGCATGTGGGGTATCGTTTGAAAGATCTTTTCAAATATAATAAAAATATTGAAATACTATTTTGCATTTAGCAATTTTATGTATAAAATTGAATAACAGCAACTTATAAATCACTCATAAATTAATATACTCATCGTTTATTTATACATATCAGGAAGATTATGCACCATGTTTTAAGGCAAAATGCCAGTTGCACCTAGTTCTATTATTTTTCATTTCAGGAAAGAAATTAGTAAGACGTGAACCTTTAGAGAAGACTGGAAAAGCTTTTGGTGGTTTAATTAACGACATGCGGTACCGATTTCCATTTTACATTTCTGACTACCTAGACGGATTGAATTCGCAGTGTGTTGCTGCTACTATTTTCATGTATTTTGCTGCTTTGTCGACAGCCATAACTTTTGGAGGATTGCTCAGCGATAAAACTCATAATTTAATCGGTAAGTGAAAATACTAGAATACTAGAACTAGTAGAAGAACCTTTGGATTTGTTTTAAAAAAAATCTACAGAGTTTGAGAGCTCTGCAGGTCGCACTGTTTGCACTTCAAACACATAATTTTCATATACAATTCCTCAGCATACCTACTATAACAATAAATACTAAAACTTATTCTGCCCTACCCATAATGTTCCTTTTTTAGGTATTTCTGAAACTCTGGTCGCTGCCTCTGGCTGCGGAATCATCTTTGCCCTGATAGCTGGTCAACCTATGGTCATCATAGGAACAACTGGACCTCTGCTCCTTTTAGATGAAAGTTTATATCAATTTTGTGTCAATAATGATATAGATTTCTTGACATGCAGGCTTTATATGGGTAAGTTTATTTAGAGGGTGGTTGTTCTTAGGATTATGGTTATTTGCATATTATTTTCCTACCTAGGTTTTTGGATGGCCATCACCGCCATCGTGGTCGCCTCCGTGGAAGGCAGCAGACTTGTGAAACTCTTTACACGTTTCACCGAAGAAATTTTCTCAGCCTTGATCTCCTTAATTTATATTTTTGAATCCATAATGAAATTGATTTACGTCTTCAAAAGAAATCCACTATTAGCAGACTACTGCACTTTATCATTTTTGACTGGTGGATTATTTGGAACAACCGATGATTCCAACTATACCACCGAGAGCAATGGAAATTATACAACAGAGTTTAACTTCTATGAAGAATTAGGCAACGGAACGAGTGATCCATGGTCCATGCAGTCGTCGAATGAAACTATGAAGTTGCCGACTAGTGATGCTTTAGGGCCGATTAATCAACCTAATACGGCCTTGTTTTGCCTCATTTTGGCGCTTGGAACTTTTACGATTGCTTATTATTTGAGGATTTTCAGGAATGGACACTTTTTAGGACGAAATGTGAGTAGAAAGAAATAGGAAAATATAATAAGTCAGAAACGTATTTGAAGCTACCAAACTTTTAGTTTTTTAACTACAAGCCTAAATATACAAAAACTCACCACTTACCATCAATTTCTATCCTTTCCCAGGCCAGGCGTGCACTAGGCGACTTTGGTGTCCCCATCGCGATCGTGATCATGGTAACGATCGATTATTTAGTCCCGGGCACTTACACAGACAAACTGAGTGTTCCCGAAGGACTATCACCCAGCGATCCCGAGAACAGAGGCTGGATCATCCCACTATTGGGCAAAGATCCCGAAAACCCATTCCCAGTTTGGGCAATGTTTGCAAGCGTTGTCCCTGGAGTCTTGGTCTACATCTTGGTGTTTATGGAGACCCATATTTCTGAGTAAGTGGGAGGAAAAGGATATATTTCCCGGATTTATCCATTGTCTAGTTCTTGGTTATATTTTAGAGCCTCAAATTTTGGCTATGGAGTATAACAAGTTGTTTCCATTACATCTATGTTTATTTTTTTTTTTCTAGATTGATCATTGACAAGCCAGAAAGGAATTTGAAGAAAGGTTCAGGTTTCCATATGGACATTGTAGTGATCTGTATTCTCAATGCAGTTTGTGGTGTCATGGGAGCTCCTTGGCATTGTGCTGCCACTGTACGTTCCGTCACCCACGTCGCTGCCTTAACCGTCATGTCCAGGACGCACGCTCCTGGAGAGGCGCCACATATCGTTGAAGTCAAAGGTAAGTAGATAAGATAAAAACAATATATGAAGTATCAGAGGATGATCATATTATTTTTTTTATAGAACAACGTTTGAGCGCCTTTTTCGTCTCTTTGCTGGTCGGTCTGTCAGTGCTGATGTCCAATCTTCTGAGACTGGTGCCAATGTCTGTACTTTTCGGAGTATTTTTGTACATGGGTGTCTCGTCTACAAGTGGTGTCCAATTCTTTGATAGGCTTCAATTGTTCTTTATGCCTGTCAAACATCATCCAAGAGTTCCTTACGTCAGAAGGGTAAGTGATATAATTACCTAACATTACAAGGTTCTATATCTTATTTTTTGGTAGGTCCAAACATACAAGATGCATCTGTTCACTTGTGTCCAATTAGTTGCTCTTGCTCTCTTGTGGGTTGTTAAGAGCAGTCGAGCCTCATTGGCCTTCCCATTCTTCCTGATCATGATGGTGCCGCTGAGGCAGAAATTGGCGAAGATTTTCTCTCCTGAAGAATTGCAAGCTGTAAGTAATATTATATATTTATTTAGAGTTTTTTCTTTGACTTATTTAGGTAGTTTCTCACTTTTTCTAAAAAAAATGTTTTTAAATGAAGGTTTTTTGTTAGTTTTATATTTTGACAATACTTTCAAATCGTTTTTTACTTCCTTGATATCTAAAATTCTTATTGAGTGTATCACTGTTGTTTACAAAGTGGACAGTAATTGTTGTTATATTGACGAAAGTTCGCAATATATCTACAAGAGAATAAACGAACACATTTAATTACAAAAAATCCAAATCAATATAAGACAATGTTTTCTGAACATGTTATTAGTTTGAACCATACTTTCAATACCAAAAATCCTATAATTTTACATAAGGAAAACAATGGTGACCCTAGAAAATTTGCTAATTCTCTATTTATTTTTCAAATTCCCTTTGCGTTAATAAACGAAATTCTGCTCTATTAGTACATGACTCGTATCAATTTTTCAAAACATAATTCTTTAAATCTTAGAATCTGATTTTATATTTTCATATTTTTGTATTTTATTTTCTCTAATTGCGTCCCCACTGTTGAATTATTCTTAGAACCCTCTCTTACATTTTTCGTGAATCCTCGGTTTTTTCATCGAGCGCGCTCGGTTCTTTGCTTGCAACGAACGGTATAAAAATCTTTTTTTTTTCAGAAGTCTTTTGTCTGTTTATTTATTTTTTGAGAAAAAAAAATTGACATTTGTTAAAATGCATCACAATTCGCTTTCTCACTTTAGTTTAAATTTAGAACAAAAAAAAAAATCATTTTATTATTGTTTATTTTCTATATTTTTTAATTTTTTGTTATTGTTTTTCCTGATGTGGTATGTATCAATTTTTTACTTGTCGTTGCATTTTTAATCTTCAATATATTTTGAATTAAATTTTTAGCTGGACGGTAAACAACCTGATGGAAGGACAGAAGATGAACCTGATTTCTATGAACAAGCTCCATTACCAGGATAAATAAATAAATAAATATATATATATATATATATATATATATATAAATTTAGCAAAAACGTAAGAAAAACGTTAATACTATGTTACACAGACCACGTAACAGGTATGAAATATTTTACTGTATAATAGTACAATTTATAGAATTTATTTATATATATTTAGATATATATATATATAATATGTATATATAAAATATATACGCAACAAAAACGGTAACACTACGCTACTCATGTTACGTAACAAACATGTAGCATTTCACTGTATTATAGTACAATTTATGGAATACACATATATATATTTTCGTCGATAGAAATATTTAATATTTTTCTGAAATTTAAAATATATAAAAATATATATATGAATGTTAATCTTAATAGATTTTTGGATATATATGTTTTATAGAAAAAATTAATTAAAAACAGTTATAAAACAAATCATTTCCAAGTCCAATGTTGGTGTCTTAAAACTTAAAAGTAGATTTATATATGTGTATAAATATATATTTATATATATATATATATATATATATATATATATATATATAAATTTATAAATATATATATACACATATACATAATAGTTTCCTTAAGCCTTATAGTTAAAATTTGACCCAGTAAACATAGATACGTAACAAAACCCGTGATGCAACGTAACCCTTGTTACTTAGTTGTTACGTATGTTTACTCCACATATGTTACTCGGTAAATCTTCGATGTAATTAGAATACACTTTCTTGTAAAAACGATCCATGAGAAATTTAACAATGTTTTTATTGGTTTATTAGAATTCAAAAAAAAATGTTATGAAATATAAACAAAAATAAATACTTTAAGTATTCCACAGACAGTTTGATCATTATATATTAAATTCCTTTTTCAACTTATCGTTGTTACATGCATTTACTTTTTTGTGGATTTGTTAATCGAAGACTTATCGATTTAAAATAATTAGTTAATTGTTTATGTTTTTGCATATAATTTTATTAAATTAAAGTATGTGCCAAAAATATAAATCGAACTTTAAAGACTATATGTTGCACACACCATATTAAAAATAATGTCTGTATTATAAAGTTATTGAAAATCTCAAATTAAAAGTTTAATATTATTATATATATACGAATTCAATGGATCAACTATGTAACTAATAGTTTTAATAGATTTAAGTAATTTTTTCGTAGTTTTTGAAAAAACTATGACAATGTGATCATCGATTAGAAAATGTGCAGGTATTTTAAAGCCATTTATATATATATATATATATATATATATATATATATAATTCTCTCGTCATGTTATTCGTCGCAATACTCCTCCGAAACTGCTTGACCGATTTTTATGAAATATAATAACGTTTAGTATGACTGAGAATTATCTATTTAACTATAAATAATAAGAGTTGGTCATCCTTAAATTTTTTTTTATTTTTTTAATTTGTTCAGTTTTATTTTATAATTATAAATAAAAAATTACGTAGAGCCCTAAATTTTCACCCTTCTACTACAAACCCCAATTTCGAAAATTTTCATCAGGCATTCAGTCAATGTTTTTTTACTGAGTTTCGATTCAAATTCGACCAAAATATTAAAAAAGCTTAAATTTAACTTAAAAAAACTTATTTTTAGTCAAGGGTTGTCCAAATCTAACATTTTTTTCTATTTCTGGGATCAACTTTCTCCATTTAAATTTTCTATAAATAAACATCAGTCAATAAGTATTTTGTACTTAATTTCGAAAAATGCCATGTTTAAAAGTTCAAAAAATCTTTTATTATTTATTAAGGGTTGTCCACTCTCATCTCTTTTTTTTCATTTCGGTATCAAATTTATTCATTATAATTTTTTGTCAATGCGGAATTGAAAAAACTGATTATTAAAATCTATAGATAAAAAATTTTACTTTATTTTTCCGTTACTCGAGTAACTTGTCTACCCTCATCTTTGTTTTTAAATTTTGGTATCAATTTTCTTTATTTTATTTTTTTAATTTGTAATTGAAGAAAGAAATATTAGAACTTTTAGATAAAACAGTTTTTGAAAGAGAACTGAATACCTACGGTAAAGCTGTAAAATTTTCTAGAATTGTAAAAAATTAGTCGACTATCAATATGCCTCATGAACATTCACATGTGGCTTGCTTTGCAGTGGGTAAACCTTCTATATAATTTGCGTTAGGTGCCCCTTTTACTTATATTTGTGGTAAACATTTATATTTTAATTATATTTGTGCGAACATTTATATGTGGCATGCTTTGCAGTGGGTAAACTTTTCATATAATTTGTGTTGGCTGCCCCTTTTACTTGTATACTGCATACTTGCATACAATTAGTTATTTTTTATACTAAAAATCCTATAAATATTTTTTATGAACAGGTCAGTTAGTATATATATATATATATATATATATATATATATATATATAAATGGCTTAAATTTTCCTGCACAATTAAAATATTTCTTATTATATATAAATATTCGAGACAATTTGTCTCCTCGATGGTAAAACTGTACATATCAATAGTACTTAGTACTCGATCTTAATAAAAACGAAAACTATAGTTTTAACTACAATCTAATAACTATTATTAATAAAAGTCTCACAATTCTAATTATAAATAAATGTATAATTTAATAAATTAAATTTGTTATGTTTAATTAGTTAATTTTTAAATAAATAAGTATATGAGTACCTCGCAGATGTAAAACAGAGTATAAATAAATGATAGTATATATATAAATAAATATTTTAAAGATTTAAAATCAAAACTTGTTTTTTCTTATAGTATTATAGTAAATGATGGATATATATATATATATATATATATATATATAACACTGTTGCAGACGTTTCCTTACAATTAGCACAATAGACTTTTAGTCAATGACTTTTTTACGAGATTGAAGTGAGTGAAAAAAATTAATATTTTTAACATGTTTGAAGTGAGTAAAAAATTTTGCCCTTTCTCCATTTCAACATTTGAATATTCATACAGATTGCACTCTAGCTAAGCCATTCAACCATTTAGCTAAGCCGTAGAAGATACAAAAAAATATATTATTTGGATAAAAGATGCAAAATAAAATTACGAATAAAATGATATGTAAATCGTTAAGTGTGTTTATATAATTTTGTCGCACTTTGATACTTCTTCTTAAACGCAGCATGACTGCTTTGAAAAAAAAAATCAAAATTTTCAAAAACCTTGTTTTTTCAAAGTTTTAAAAAATTTCAAAGTTTGTTTGAAAATTTTAGTTTTTGGTACGGGAAGTTCCAGCAATTTGCCTTAATGCACGGCGCCATCTAGTTAACGTTAATAATTAATAAATAAATAAATAACGAAATTTATTTTTGAAATAAATATCTCGCAAATATTCTTATGTTGGCAACAGTGACATAGGAGCGCCGCCATGTTCAGTTCATTTAACGAAGTTCGTTCAACTGTCAAACTGTCAAACAAATTATTTAATGGACTGATGAAACATTTAATTTTTTATTTATTTAATTATTCAAACATAATTATTGATTAAATGTTATAATAAATGTATCATATAAATCTATAAATATAATTACAAGTCTGTATTAAAATTCAATGTTTGTGAGATTGATTGATAAAGGTAATATAATATACTTCGAGGTTATTTCACATGATTAAGTTTTTAATACATTTATTTTTTGCGGAAAGAACTATAAATATTTAATTTTAAATATAGGTAGGCAATGGATAATTAAAGCTCGATTGTTTCTTTTTACATTTGAGTTCTGCAATAAGCCAGAAGTGTGGAACAAATAGTTTCACATCTGTCAAAAAGATTTTGAGGAAGGGGTCATCTTGGCGACATACATTGTCCAAAACAGACTACAGTTAATTCAATGTAAGAATAGATTTGGAGATGAAACTTGCTTAAGAAATAAATCCACCCATTAAGGAAGCTTAGAGATTGATTTATACACTCCTGTAAAATATTACAACTGGATAAATGTATTGCCTTTCTAAAACACTCCATTCTCGAACTATCAATAACTAGTTAAATTAACATATTCAGCAATAGTTCATTAAATAGTAATCAACTACTTTTGTCAATACTTACAGAATACACGCAGTGCACAAGTATTTCAAAATGTCAGAAGCTGTTAATGATCCGATAATTAAAATTGAACCACAAGAATATCCAATTGAAGACATCAAACAGGAAATAGAAGAAGACCCTGAATCTTATTCAGAGAATGACGAAATATGTCTGAAAAGGTTCATGAACTCTGTAGTAAAGATAGAAGAAGAAGTCCAACAGGAATCAATTGAAACTCCCCCTTATAAATGTGACAAGTGTAATAGAACATTTAGAAAGTTGCATTATTTAGAACAGCATATAGTAAATCATAGTAATAAGTGTACTGATTGTTCAAAGACTTTTTCAGATGCAAGTACATTAGAAATGCATCTGAGAAGTCACACGGTTGCAAATCATTTTGTATGTACAAAGTGTGATGAAGCATTTACTACAAAATATGATCTGGATCAACACATTTGTCCTTGTTCCACAAAACAATTAGATGAAATTATAGTTAAAATAGAACCTGAAGAATTTCCAATTGAAAATATTCAACAAGAAATAGAAAAAGAGCCTGAAGAATGTTCAGATGATGATAAAACATGTCTGAAGAGATTCATGAATTCTATAGTAAAGATAGAAGAAGAACCCCAACAGGAATTAATTCAGAATCTTTCTTATAAAAATAATAGAACATTTAGAAAGTTGCAATATTTAGAACAGCATATGGTAAGTCATAGTCATAAGTGTACTGATTGTTCAAAGATTTTTCCTGATGCAAGTGCATTAGAAATACATCTAAAATCCCATACAGGGAAAAAACATTCCAAATGTACAAAGTGCAATAAAGCATTTAATAAATGTGATTTAGATCAACACATTTGTGCTTGTGCCAGAGAACAAAACTTGAATGAATCTAGTAATCAAAAACAAAATATTTATGCTGCAAAGAGACCTTATAAATGTCAACTATGTGATAAAGCATTCATAAGATTGAGTAATTTGGATCAACATGTGCTCATTCACACTGGGGAACGCTCTAATAAATGTACAATATGTGATAAGACATTCTTACGATTGGATAGTGTGAAAAGACATATGCTCGTTCACACTGGTGAACGCTCTAATAAATGTACAATATGTGATAAGGCATTTGCACAATTGAGTAACTTGAAACAACATATGCTCATTCACACTGGGGAACGTCCTAACAAATGTACAATATGTGCTAAGACTTTTACTCAATCGAGTAGCTTGAAACAACATATGCTTATTCACACTGGGGATCGCCCTAATAAATGTACAATATGTGATAAGGCATTTGCACAATCGAGTAGCTTGAATAAACATATGCTTACTCACACTGGTGAACGAGCTCATATTTGTAGAATATGTGGTAAGAAGTTTATACATTTGTGCCATTTGAAAGATCATATGTTCATTCACACTGGTGTACGAGCCTATATTTGTAGAATATGTGGTAAGAAGTTCATACGTTTGAGTCATTTGAATCAACATATGCCCATTCACACTGGTGAAAGCTTTAATAAATGTACAATATGTGATAAGACATTTAGACAATCGAGTAGCTTGAAACAACATATGCTCATTCACACTGGGGAACGTCCTAACAAATGTACAATATGTGATAAGACTTTTAGACAATTGAGTAGTTTGAAACAACATATGCTCATTCACACTGGGGAACGCCCAAATAAATGTACAATATGTGATAAGGCATTTGCACAATCAAGTGTCTTGAAACGACATATGCTCATTCACTCTAGGCAAAATATGTGATAAGACATTCACAGATCCAAGTGTCTTGAATAAGCATATGCAAATTTGGAAGAAGGCATTCATATATTCATATAGCTTGACAGGGCAAATGTTGGGGTAATTATAAGTATTCAATAATGGATTTACATAATCAGGAACTGATACATGACTGATAGAAACTAGTGGTGTATGGCATCGTGCCTTAAGGCAAATTGTTGGAAGTTCTTGTACCGTAATGAAATGTTTCAGGAATATTAAATGCTTTCAAATAGCTTATCATAAATAAATATTGTAACATTGTCTAATATTTTTAAGAAATATATAAACTATAAATTTTTGAAAAAAAAAATTTCAAACAATATTTTTTTTCCGAAAGAAATTGTTTTTGTTAAAACAAGCAGAAAGTTTTTTTATCATTCATATCGGACCCTTAGTTCTCAAAACTGCAATTTTTTGCATATTTAGCTCTGTATCTTCGAAATGGCTGGACCTACCTTTGCCAAAAACTAATCACCTCTCTTCCCAATCATTACAAATTGGATGTTTTTAGATCATTCAAACCGGATACTCCGTTCTCTCAAAAACTCTATTTCTATTTTCTGCACTCTTTGCCTTGTATCTCCGTAACGGCTGGAGCTGCCTTTGCTAAAAACTAATCAGTACATCTCCCTATCAATAGGAAACGAATGTTTTTTGAACCATTCAAATCGGTTGAACCGAGCGCTCGAAAACATGGACAAAACACACACACACATACATCCATTTTTGTGAGGTATGCCAAAATGTTCAGAAACCTTCAAAACGTAAAGATATGCAAAACATTTCATTTTCGATTTTCGGCCCATTACTATTACTACCCTACGGGAAGTTAATAATAATAATTTTATTTTTTGTATCAACAATAGGTTTTATATTTATTTTGTAAACCAAAAGACCAAATTGATTAAACGTTTTCATTTCATAACAGATTTATGTGATCTTTAAATTAAATATAATTTTGAATTTGGTGCTTTATAACATAATAATCCATGGATTTTTGACATGAAAGGAAAAATATGTATATGTTTGAGACGTTTGAAATGAGTGAAAAAGCATGGACATTCACTTTTTGATATGAAAATTTGAAGGGAAAAACGTGTATGTCTTTTGACATGCCATGGATCGCTAGTTAACTTTAATAATTAATAATTTTTTTTTTTTATTTCTTTCTTTTTTTTTATTTACAACTGTCCTGAAACGGACAACAAGTAAAATATTTGTCATAAAACTGAAAGCATTGGCAAAATACAAATCAGCTGACCATTGCCAGTGATTTGTCGAAGGTCTTATCTATTGTTGATTAATACAGAAGAATTTTTTTTTTAATCGGGCCCTGGTAGAGCTGTTCTAAAGTTTTCTGGCGAGCAATTCGGGTGATCAGCTAGGTGATTTCTATATTTGTGTGAGTAAGCGATTATTTTATTCTTAACTGTGCTAGTGCCTGTGTCTTTGTGTATTAACCAAATTGGAACATACTTTGGTGCTTTCAAAATTTATTTTAATAACTTGTTTTGAAATCTTTGAATTATTAAAGCGTTTGAGTTGGAAGTTGATCCCTATAGCTGTATGCCGTATGTCCAAATTGGTTTAATGATAGCTTCATAGAGGTAAATTTTATTATGCGTGTCAAGTTTTGATTTTTGTCCGAGGAGCCAATAATATCTTCTTTTGGTTTCTTCAAGCTGCTTCCTCTTTTTCTTAATGTGTTCCTTCCAGGTGTAAACCTAGATATTTGACTGTATCTGTTTGATCTATAATTTTGTCATTAAGTCTTACTGCAGGACAAGTCCCTTTGCAAAGAGTTAAAATTATGTGTTTTGACTTGCTGCTGTTGACTTCTATACTCCACAAGTTTAACCATTTTTGTAATAAAATAAAATAAATTAATTAATTATTTTTGAAATAAATATCTCGTTAATATTCTTATGTTGGCAACGTTGACAATAGAACGCCGCCATGTTCAATCGAAGTTCGTTTAACTGTCAAACAAATTATTTAATGAACTGATCTTACATTTTATTTGTCATCTATTTAATTATTAACAGAGATATTGATTAAATGCTATAATAAATATATTCTATAAGATATAAGTATAATTATTATTTTATTTTAAAGTGCAGTATTTATGAGATTAATTGATAAACATAAAGGTAGTGTAAAATACTTTGAGGTTATTTATCATGATTAACTTTTTAGTATATTTATTTCTTACAGAAAGAACTATAAATATTTAATTTTTAATATAGGTAGGCAATGGATAATTAAAGCTCGATCGTGCTTTTTTATATTTCAGTTCTGCAATAAGCCAAAAGTGTGAAACAAATAGTTTCACATCTGTCAAAAAGATTTTGAGGAAGGGGTCATCTTGAAGACATACTTTATTCAAAATTGACTACAGTTAATTTAATGTGAAAATAGATTTGAAGGTAAAACTTGATTAAGATATAAATCCATTCTGTGAAATATTACAACTGGATGAATGATTTTCTTTCTAAAACATTTTATTCTCGAACTGTCAATAACTAGTTAAATTATCAGATTTAGCAATAGCTCATTAAATAGTAATTAACTACTTTTGTCAATACTTACAGAATACACGCAGTGCACAAGTATTTCAAAATGTCAGAAGCTGCTGATGATCCGATAATTAAAATTGAACCACAAGAATATCCAATCGAAGACATCAAACAGGAAATAGAAGAAGACCCTGAATCCTATTCAGAGAATGATGAAATATGTCTGAAAAGGTTCATGAACTCTGTAGTAAAGATAGAAGAAGAACTCCAACAGGAATCAATTAAAACCTCCAGTTATAAATGTGACAAGTGTAATAGAACATTTAGAAAGTTGCATTATTTACAACAGCATATAGTAAATCATAGTCATAAGTGTACTGATTGTTCAAAGACTTTATCAGATGCAAGTACATTAGAAATACATCTGAGAAGTCACACGGTTGCAAATCATTTTGTATGTACAAAGTGTGATAAAGCATTTACTACAAAATATCATCTGGATCAACACATTTGTCCTTGTTCCACAAAACAATTAGATGAAATTATAGTTAAAATAGAACCTGAAGAATTTACAATTGAAAATATTCAACAGGAAATAGAAAAAGAGCCTGAAGAATGTTCAGATGATGATAAAACATGTCTGAAGAGATTCATGAATTCTATAGTAAAGATAGAAGAAGAACTCCAACAGGAATTAATTCAGAAGCCTCCTTATAAATGTGACAAATGTAATAGAATATTTAGAAAGTTGCAATATTTAGAACAGCATATGGTAAATCATAGTCATAAGTGTACTGATTGTTCAAAGACTTTTCTAGAAGCAAGTGCATTAAAAATACATCTGAAATCTCATACAGGTGAAAAACATACCAAATGTACAAAGTGCAATAAAGCATTTAATAAATATGATTTAGATCACACATTTGTGTTCGTGCCAGAGAACAAAATTTACACTTGAATGAATCTGGTAATCGAAACAAAATATTCATGCTGCAAAGAGACCGTATAATGTCAACTATGTGATAAAGCATTCCTAAGATTGGGTCATTTGGATCAACATGTGCTCATTCACACTGGGAAACGCTCTAATAAATGTACAATATGTGATAAGACATTCTTACGGTTGGATAGTATGAAAAGACATATGCTCGTTCACACTGGTGAACGTTCTTATAAATGTACAATATGTGATAAGACATTCTCACAATCGAGTGGCTTGAATCAACACATGCTAACTCACACTGGGGAACGTCCTAATAAATGTGAAATATGTCATAAGACATTCTCTCGTTTGAGCGATTTGAATCGACATATGCTCATTCACACTGGGGAACTTCTTCACAAATGTACAATATGTCATAAGGCATTTGCACGTTCGACTAGCTTGAAACAACATATGCTCACTCACACTGGTGAACGAGCTCATATTTGTAGAATATGTGGTAAGAAGTTCATACGTTTGTCTCATTTGAATCAGCATATGCCCATTCACACTGGTGGACTCTCTACCAAATGTACAATATGTGATAAGACATTTAGACAATCGAGGAGCTTGAAACAACATATGCTCATTCACACTGGGGAACGTCCTAACAAATGTACAATATGTGATAAGACTTTTACACATTCGAGTAACTTGAATAGACATATGCTCATTCACTCTAGGCAAAATATGTGATAAGACATTCACAGATCCAAGTGTCTTGAATAAGCATATGCAAATTCACATTGGTGACCGTTCACACAAATGTAAGATATGCAAGAAGGCATCCATATGTTTATATAGCTTGACAGGACATATCTTGATTCACAGTGGGGAACGGCCCCACAAATGTGAAATATGCAATAAGACATTCACACAATTGCACCCCATGAATGCAAAATATGCAACCATGCATTCAGACTATAGAGTAATTTGAAAAGGCACATGCCTGTTCACACAAGAGAGTAATTATAAATCATCAATAATGGATTTACATAATCAGGAACTGATACATGACTGCTGATAGAAATAATAATAATAATTTTATTTATAGTATTATTTATAATAATAATAATTGTAATTTTTTGTATCGACAATAGGTTTTATATTTATTTTGTAAACCAAAAGACCAAATTGATTAAACGTTTTTATTTTATAACAAATTTGTGTGATCTTTAAATTAAATGTAATTTTAAATTTGGGGCTTCATATTTTTACTCCTTCTTTATAATAAATAACTTCTCATGGGATAAGTTATTGTAATTGTCCAAAAACTGTAATTGTAAATGTTTACGTTTCTTCACGTTTTGAAGGTTCTTGAACATTTTGGCATACCTCAGGAAAAATGGATGTGTGTGTGAGTTTACTTTAAGCATCAAAAACTATATGAAATTGTTCTTGAAAAAAAATTAATTGTTATAACTTTGTTAATACACATTTTTGCTGTATATACTTTACAAAAACAATATATAATATTTTGATTTGCAATTATAAAAACAAATTGTTATAGATCTTATAAAATATTTAATAGAACTTATTTTTTCAACTTCCCCAAGGAGAAGTTTGTTTTGCCAGAAAATCCGACTTGCTAATTTTATATTTACTCAACATTTCAAGTCATTCAGAGTTACTTGACCCCAAATTTGAAAAAAATGTGTGTATGAGCCAAAATTTGACCTTTTGTCGACATTAAGGCACATTGCCGCTTGCACCTAGACCTAAAAATAACTAGTGGGGTGGGTGGCATCGTGCCTTAAGGCAAATTGCTGGAACTTCCCGTACCGTAACGAAATGTTCGAGGAATACTGAATGTTTTCAAATAAATTATTATAAATATTGTGACATTGTCTAGTATTTATAAGTATTTTATAAACTGAATTGCAAAGTTGAAAATATTTGTTTAAAGTATATTAAAACTATAGTCAGAATTAAAAATAAAATCTGAATTATTTTCGATATACAAAAAATTAAAAAACAAAAAAAAATGAAACAAAAAATTTTTTTTCCAAAATCAATTATTTTGTTAAGACAAGCAGAAAGTTTTTTGAATCATTCAAAATTGGACGCTTAGTTCTCTCAAAAACTGCCATTTTTTACATATTTAGCTCCGTATCTTTGAAATGGCTGGGCCTACCTTTGCCAAAAACTAATAAACACTTCTCCCAACCATTACTAATTGAATATTTTTTAGATCATTCAAATCGGATACTCCGTTCTCTCAAAAAGTCGATTTCTATTTTCTGCACTCTTTGCTCCGTATCCCCGAAACGGCTGGACCTGCCTTTGCCAAAAACTAATCAGCTCTTTTCCCTATCGATAGGAATCGAATGTTTTTTAAACCATTCAAATCGGTTGCTCCGTGCGCCCGAAAACGTGACTGGAAATTTGTATCCATACATACATACACACACACACACACACACATCCATTTTTTCTGAGGTATGCCAAAATGTTCAGAAACTTTCAATTCCGATTTTCGGCCCATTACAATAACTTACCCTACGGGAAGTTAAAAATATATATTTACCGCTTTCAAATTTACCACTTTCATCAATTTGAATTTAAATTTGAATTTTTGAAAAATTAACGTTTATTCGCATCGGGCACTCCTAAACTAACAAAATGCATCTTCATTGCAGTTTGTTGCAAGTTGTGAGTCGTTGTGAGTTGTGAGCGAATATTATGAAATGGAATAAAGATATAAAAAATGATTTTATAGTGTTGACACTTCGGACAATCATTGCTTGAATATTGTACTATTGTGTGACAATACCGCATTTTATTGTCATCAGCTAATAACGCCATAATTATTGTGCACATTTCAGAGGTTATGTTCAACATGTGTTTTGGAATAAGTGATACAATTAATATAACAAAATATTATTGGAGTATTGTGAGTATGCTGAAATATTGTTAAAATATTGTTCATCATTGTCATTTTATTTAATTGTATTGTCATTTGCAGGTTTTTGCTGATTTTCGGATAATTCATGGAAGGTTATGTTTGTGTGTTGTGGCTTTGTACATTTTTGTAAATTTTTTACAGAAGATGGATTTGACAGAGAGTACTGTGAGTATGCAGAAGTATTATTTATGTATTGAACTTTGATGTGACTATATTTAATATTATTGACATTTGTTGAGTTTGGCAAATTTTAAACATTCGAGAATATAGCTCATTTATTGAAAAATTTATCGAATGCGTTGGCTTTATGCAATTTTATTAAAAAAATGGAATTAACTATGTATTGTAAGTATGCATCAGATATATTATCCTAGTATTGAACTTTGATGTGACAATAGTTAATAATATTGTCATACATCTTTATCAAATTTTAAATAGTGGAGAAATTTTTCTGATGTATATATTATGTATATACATTTACATACACATATATATATATATATAATATATAATATATATATATAATATATATATTTATACAGCTATACACAAAAGTATGACTAGTATTGACCTAGTTCATGGTGGCAACTTTTATAATTTTATTTTTGTTAGCATTTCTTTCTAACCTAAATGGAATTGATAAAGTATTGTGAGGATGCAGATGTATTGCTCTAGTATTGAGCTTTGATGTGACAATAGTTAATGACATTGTCATACGTCTTGTTTGCCACATTTTAAATAGTCGAGAATATTTTATGAAGTGTCTATAATATATATATATATATATATATATATATATATATATATATTTTGTAGAGTTTCGAACAAGAATCCAAAAATAATACAAAATAAAAAACAAGAAAAGTTTTTAAAAAAACAATTTCTTTATTTAATTATTTGTTTATTGTCGACGTTTCGGAACTAGGTACGTTCCATCTTCAGGACATCTGTCAAGAAACATGATCTTGATGAGATTTTAGCAAACAATATGTTTAGGAAAAGAAAATAGATTTTTTCTTAAATAATGAATTAAATTGTAAAAAATATAATAATGTACAGAAATATGATAATATGTTCAAAATAAAAATGATAAAAATAAATGAGTGGATTATCAGAACAGGATATTAAACATAATAGAAAAATTTTTTTGAAAGTTATGGAATTTTTTTTTTTAAGAAAAGGTTAATGACAAAGTTGAATTAATTACCTGTATGTTTGAATATTTGTTAGCACTTTTTCACTAAACAAGCTTTTTAAACAAAAATGATTTTTTGAGTTAATTTTCCGCCGAATAATTAGATTTTGTAATCAAAATTACTAAAAATTTGTCTTTTTTAAATTATTATTTGAAAACACAAATAATATTGTTTCTCTGGATGTTGTTCGATTGGTTTTCGAAAATTAACTAAATG